TAATAGTTGCTATTTGCCTAAAATATTTCCTATTGCATCAATCCAGTTCTAATAGTACAGAGTGGGAAAATATGCCAGGGAATTACCTTTCTGTCAATAAAACTCTATTAATTAACATTATTAGAAAACGCACTCGTGTCTGTTTCTTAAATATACTTAGACTTCATTCTCCACTCACAAACATTTCTTTCGTATTTTCCTTCTCTTTATTTCTCTAAACGACATGCTTGTAACTTCTTTGGCCTGATCTTCCAGTTTACTAATTTTCTCTTTATCTTATTATAATTCCTGGTTAAACTATCAGATTTTTATCTTCCACTTATTTTTCTTTCATAGACATTCCATTCGGTTCTTCAAATTTGCTTATCTCCTGATTGGATTCTCAACTGTCTCTTTTGGGTTTTTTTGTAATATGATACCTACTTTTTTATATTCTTTAGATGATAGTTCTAATAGCTGAAGTCTTAATGGGTCTGTAACTGCAGTGTCTTGTTCCTGCTCAGAGAGACTATTTTTTCCTTGGACTTTATCTGTGGGACTATTCTGAGGCCTGGGTTGAAGTGACTCCAGAGAAGATTTTTGTTTCCTTCTGCCAAATCTCTTAAGGTGACACCAACCCAGAAGCACTTTAAATTATCCACCTGAAAGTTTTCAGACCACATTGCTAGCACATATTTAAATCATAATCCTGTGTAAGGGCCGTCTTATGATAAAAATTCTCAGAGGAGATTTTTCTTTTCTCTCCACCAGCATAAAGTCAAGACAGGTAATTTTCCTTCCTGCCACCTCTGCATCTCACACTGTGGAATGGTCTGTGGAGTCCCAACTTTAAGCAAGGCTCCTAGTAGATCTTCTACCTATAGTGGGTGGACTTTATCTCCTGTCCCCATTGTCCCATGGAGTCATCAAAGCAGCAGCTCAATGTCTCCAGGGCCTGGCAAACACCTACAGAGAGACTCTGGTATTCACTTAACTCCAACGGTTCTGAGCTTGATATTTCAAAACTCCAGACTCCTGAGTGCCAGCTCAGTATACATTTAAAATAAACACGTGTGCGTGCATTTACATACATCATTTATTTATTTCAGGGTATCTAATCTACCATTCTTCCATTATTACCAAAGACATCTTATTCTACACTACTTAGTCTTGACACCTCCCTCTTCTTTCCTCTGCTTAAATTCATTTAGACACCAACTATTTCATATGATCTAAGAAATTTCTAACACCTCCCCCTCCACTAATTCAGTTCCTCGCCATTTCTTAGAGGCTGTTAAAATCTCCTAGCCCAGTCTCCTTCTGACCAGTCTTTTCCTCGCACTAAGGTTCAGAGGTAGCGAGAGAAAGACATTGGTTCTAGACTGTCCTTTGGATTCCAATCCACGTAAGTAGGTTCTTGTCAATGAACAATAACATTTTTTTTCTAGCTTTGATCAGTATCTCAATGAAATAGATTCTTAAAAGTAGACTATGGGTCAAAAGGCAAATGATCATATTATTTCTAACAGTTCTATTCCCTCCTTAAAACTTATGACTTCTTTTGGAGACCGTGGAAGCAACTGTGGCAATCAGAGATTGGTAGTTTTCAATGTCCACCTCCCATCATTATGTAATAAAATTTTCAGGTGGGTACTAAGCTAAAGAGTACTTTTCTCAGCCTCCTTTGTGGCTAGATATGGCACTATGATTAAGTTTTGATCAATGAGATGTGGGTAGATTAATTATGTGCAATTTCTAAGTCATTCTTTAAAGAGAAGGATAGTTCTTTTCCATTTCCCCTCTCCTTCTTTCCCTGTCCTGATGGCTAACATGTTTATGTGATGTTGGGAACAGAATGGCCATTTGGGACCAGGCACTGAACGTAGCATGTTAAAGGCAACAGAGAAACCATACAGAAGGGCCCAGGTACTCTGATGACAGAGGATCCACCACACCAGCTCTAGACTGTCAGTCTGGATCTTTATGTGAGAGAAATAAATTTCCATCCTACGGTCTCATTATGGGTTTTATTGTTAACCTAACTAATAAATCAAACTTTTGTACCTGTCTAATTCATGAATATCTATATATTTGAGATATCATTCTATGAAGAAAATATGAGTTTCAATGCACAGGTTTTATAAACATTGCCTTAGAATACTCAAAAGTTCTTTTTACTTATAATTGATTAATGTTCCATTTAGTTAAGATTACTGGATAATTAACCTAAATGAGCTATTATGTAATGAACACAACCCCAATAACTTTTACAAAGAATTGTCAGCCTAGTATCATATATGTGTGTGTGTGTGTGTGTGTGTGTGTGTGTGTGTGTGTGTGTATATATATATTACTCTATGCACCTTCACAATATAAACTCTTAAAAAAATTCTAAATATAAAAGTCCACATTTTTAGTCCACTGTTTTAACTATCCCTAATGTACGCTGGCATTCAAGAAGAACATAGGAAAAAAATCAAATTATTTATGGATACTAGAGGTCTACTGGTTTATGAAATTAATCTAAAGCACTTTCTTTTATTGCTCCATTTGATTCTGTCAATACAGAAATGTCTTCCACAAGGCACCACAGACTACTCCATCAAAAGTCTCCATTTCTTTTTATATCATTCTAAACAACTGGAAATTTGGAATTTTCTGTCAATGTGAAGTAGATCTGAGAGGTTAACAGAGCTGGAGAAGAGCAGACTGCATATAGGCAGCAAATGAACAATCAGTGTCAGTACATTCACAACCCCTCACCAATACCCTTCCCCCATAAAAAGCAGAAACCAGAATATGGTCAGCTGTAAGGTACGAATTCGAACCAGAGGCTAAGTCTAAGAAAACCATGAGTTAAAGGCATCCTGAATTCTATATAAGAACCAGTAAAAAAATAAAATAGAGATGAGCAACTTCAATTATTGCTTCCAAACTGACCTCAAGCAGTGGTTCTCAAAGTTAAGCATGAGTCAGAATCACCTGGAGGGATACTAAGGCAGATAACTGGGCCCTGTTCCCACAGGTTCTAATTCAGTAGGTTTTGAATAAAGCTTGACAATTTGCATTTTTAATAAGCTCTGAGGATGCTTCTACTGCTGGCCCTGAGATGAACTCTGATAACCACCTAGAGACACTCATATGAAGACTTTAGTGGCTAACTTCTTCTTCCTATTCTACTTTCTTCTGCAAAGCAGCTCTTTAGCTGTGAAAAAACTAATACCTTTATGGTCTTTACTAAGCCACTAGGGGTCAGAAAAACCATTCAGAGTTACAGTCCTCAAAATGGCACATAATCAATCACGAGGAAACTTCTGAAAAACTTCTCAACCCCAATCCTCATCAGAGTCTTTTATAAGCTCTCCCAGGGCCAAGACTGCAATAAATGTTTCAAGCTCATGGTCTTAGCTGGAATCCTATAACATTAAGCATTTCCCTTACCAATCCTGATTTCAAAATTTGCAGTAAAGTGAATATTGCTTTTCCAAATGTTTCTTACTCAGTCTCCATTTATTAAATACTGAAAATATCTGCATTAATTGATTAGCTATAACAGCTGATTAACCTCAAAAATATGATACCTATAGGATATTAAAATTATTAGAAATCAAATAGCTATTCATTATATACCATCAGTGTTTTCCTATTTACCTCGAGATTTTTTTTTAATTCTTAGAGTAATTGTTTTATTCCATAATGGCATATAGAACACAACAGAGTTCTTTAAAAATGTAGAGATTCAATTTAAAATGTTTAACTTAAGAACAACTGGAACTCTGATAAATTTCCAATACAAGTGTAAAATGGCACAATCACTTTGAAAAACTCTTCAGCAGATTCTTATAAGGCTAAATCTACATCTACCCTGTGACACACCAACCCCATTTCTGGATGTTTATTACCCAAAAGAAATGAAAACATGTTCATGAAAACACTATACAAGAATGTCTATAGCAAGCTTGTACAAAACAGGCAAAACTGATAAATTGTCATCTAGTCATACAATGGAATGATACTCAGCAACGAAAAGGGAATAAACTACTGATATAAGCATCAACATGAATGAACCTCAAAAACACTAGGGTGAGCAAAAGAACACAGAAGCCAAACACAGAATATACAAGACTGTGTTATTCAATTTATGTGAGGCCCAAAAACATGCAACTAATCTATGGTAATAGCAATCAGAAAATGCCTAAGTGTGGGATAGGAAGAGTAGATTGGTAGAAAAGATGAATGGATTTATCAGACCTGGAGTGATGAAAATGCTGTATGTCTTATTTTGCATAGTTGTTACATGGATGTACACAACGATCAAAAATCTATCAAAATGAACATAATATCTATGCATTTTACTATATGTAAATCACAATACAATAAAACAAAATGTTTTTATGCTTAACTATTCAAAGAAAAGATTTGGCAAAGCAATATTTCTTGAATTCAAAATATATTTTAGACAGAACAAATCATTTGATGTTTAAAATTTCCATTACAGCTGATAAATAAGCAGTCACAGATGATGTTTACAGGATTATGATCTTAAGCTAAAAGGAGCATGACTAAACACCACAGCTTGCCTTAGACAGTCAACCCAGTGTAGACCTGATATCACAGCATTAATAGTGCCTCCTTCACTATCAAAAGTATTCCAATTTAGATTAAGACCTACACAGACCCTTAGCTAAAAGGGCATTTGCTCTTACTTAGTACAATGAGCTCATTCGCTTTTTTGTTCAATCTACACTTAATAAGCATCTACTAGGTGCCTGCTACCTATATTCTTGCTTCCACTTCACATTGCTTCTGGGTTTCCACAATCAAAATAAAATAGCTGGATGGGTTTCCCCTAAATTTAACATGAAACGTATACCTGAGAACAAACTAAATATAGAACAAATCAGATTTTTCTACAAGGAAAATATAAATCGAACTATTGGGGGAGGGAGACATTAATTTTTTGAACTGTGAAAAACAAAAATATAAAAACATCACAAATATAAAATAAAGAAAACTTTTACCTGCTGCCCTGTAAAGTATTTTAGGTTCAAAAAATATACAAGGATTTTTATCCTCTATGCATGACAAAAGAAGTCCCTTGGCCTGGAAAGGGCTTCTGGGTACAACCACCTGCAAAAACAGATTTTTTTAAAGACAATTTTAGTAAAAATGTATCCCAGTAAACTCACAGGAAGGGTTGATATTTAACTAACCTATTGCTACTAATTAAAAATAGAAACCTGGTATTTTAGCCTAATTATCACTTATGTACGAATATTTACATACTGTCTCAAAAAATTCTATTTATTCAACATTGATCAGATGCCTACTCTATCCTTGTGACTAAGACGGGTCTTCTCTTATGAAGCTAAATAAATAAATAAATAAATATATAAAAGGAATCTGCAAAAACTATTTATCTAAACGAAAAAGTAAAGATGTCAATATTTTCTTATATTTACCTTTAAATAAAGAATCTTTTCTACTAATACTCTACTGCAACTTTCAAAGGGCATGCAACTCTCCTCAATTTTAACATATCACAATCTTCTTTTCCATGAAATACACTGTCTTCATTTCCTAAGTGGAAAAGTCATCCACTGAACTTCACAATCTGTGCACTATAATGTCCAGTTACTGAAAGGCTAAAAGAAAAATGTGGACAATGCGCACTTCTAGTTGACAGGAAATGGCTCCAGGACCGCCTTGAGAACTCGGTTGTTTACGAAGATGACGATCATGACAGTAGACTGCACATGTGTTAACTGGGCCAAGAACTCTATGTACATTAATTCATCTCCTGTTCATAGTTACCCCATGAGGTAGTTATTATTATTTTCCCCAATTCAGAAGTACAGACTAAAGCTTAAAGAGAGATCGGAGAGCCTGCCCAAGGATACATCACTTGCTAGACCAGGGATTCTCACCCAGTTCAAACTGATACCATAGCTCAAGCTCTTAACTTCTAGACCATTTTGCTTCAAATCACAAACTTGTGCCTAATTTTTAATGATTATTAAAAAACTGCATAAAGACAAGAGCTACATAGGAAAAGTTACCATTAAAATAAACCTGAATTTATCACAAAGGCTCAAATAGGGTTCCTTGAAGCAAGTTATATTTGGCTTTCAAAATCATTTTTATATCATTTTTATTGAAGGATTTTTATTTAAAAAATAAAATAGAACAAATTTCACGATTTCATTTTCTATAAATAGACTGCTTAACACATTACTTACCACAATACACAATGTCTTTTATCTCATGTTCCTAATTTAGTTTCTCTTCATCGGCTTTCTTCATCTGCTATTTTTAGCATTTTGTGCTACATGTATATTTTCATTTAGGATTAAACAAGAGAGAATAGAGTGAGGTGAGGGAAAGTAGGAGATTGAGAGAAAAGGCCTATTCTTAAAAATACTGGGTAACATCATAAACATTAAATGCGATTCAGTGTTTAGCTCAAGCACACACACAAAAAAACTGTTGCCTCAAATGTGGTTTCTGTCCCAACCTACCACTTCCAGCTTACATTGAAAAATGATGTAACCTCTCCACTCGACTAAGAAAAACTTTATGACTTTGCCCTGGTAGAAAAAACAAATGAAACATAAAACATAAACACACATTCACAACCACTTTATGCTATCAAAAAACAGAGACAGCCCTGGGTAGCTGAGCTTCTATATTGAATCCCTATACAGTTCTTCATTAAATAGAACTAGAAAAGATAATGTAAAACATTAAGACTTAAAATATGCAAAATATATTTTTATTAAAAGACCTAACCTATTATGAAAATTATTGTGGAAGGCTATAAAAGAAAGATGCTTCAAAATTAATTGTTTGAACAAATACTATCTAACCTGGACTAAAAAGCATGCCTAAGTTACAAAGGCTTTTCTTAGTCTATTTGAAAAATAAGAAATAAATTGCATTGAAGAAAACATAGGAACTAAACTCATGGACCCTGGACTTAAAAGAGGATTTTATGAATTTGACGTCAAAGGCAAGGCAAGTAAAAGCTAAAATAAATTAATGGGACTATATCAAACTGAAAAGCTTCTGCATAGCAAAAGAAAGTCTACAAGGCAAAGAGACAACCATCCAAATGGGAAAATATATTTACAAGCAATGCCTCCGATAAGGGTCTAATTTCCAAAATATACAAAGAACTCATATGACTCAATAACAAAAAAAAACAAATGATCCAATCAAAAAATGGGCAGAGGATCTGAACAGACACTTCTCCCTAGAAGATATAAAAATGGCCGACAAATATATGAAAAGATACTCAACATCACTAGATACTAGGGAAATGCAAATCAAAACCACAATAAGATGACATCTCACACCTGTTAGAAGGCTATTATCAACAAGACAAGTAATAATAAGTGTTGGAAAGGATGTGGAGAAAAAGGAACCCTTACACACTGCTGGTGGGACTGCAAATTGGTACAGCCACTATGGAAACAGTATGGAGGTTCCTCAAAAAACTAAGAATTGATCTACCATATGATCCAGCAATCCCTCTACTGGGTATTTACCCCAAAGACTTCAAAACATATATCCAAAAAGATGTATGTACACCAATGTTCACAGCAGCATTATTCACAGTGGCTAGGACAGGGAAGCAACCAAAGTGCCCTACAATAGATGATTGGCTAAAGAAGCTGTGGTACATATATACAATGAAACATTACTCAACTATAAGTAGAGATGAAATACTACCATTTGTACAACATGGTGGATCTTGAAATAATCATGCCAAGTGAAACAAGTCAGAAAAAGTTAAAAACCACATGATATTGCTTATATGTGGGATATAAATCTAAAAGCAAAAAACAAACATGACAGACTCATGGACATGGACAGTAGACTAGTGGTTACCAGAAGGTGGGGGGAGGGAGGAGAGGGGAGGTAGATGGGTAAAAGGGGTCAAATATGTGACGACAGAAAGAACTCTAACTATGGGCGGTAAACATACAGTGCCATATAAATATGACTTACTGTTGAATTGCACACTTGAAATATTTCCTCTAGATAAGCATATTAGTTAATATTAATAGAATGAACCAAAATGAAAACATCAAATGGTGATCAAATAAAGTACATAAACGAGGATACCTTGATTCCTGGGCAGTGGGCAAAAAAAGCTTCAGGACTCTGAGAATGATAGAGAGCCCCATGGCCAACACAGCCCCAAGGAGACCGGATGGTGAGGCTTCCACAGTTAAAAAGATCCCCAGAGCGATAGCGATACTTGGCGGCTTCATTAACAATCTGAAGGGAAGAGAAGAGATGTGTCATAATAAATGATGTTCTTAAACCATTTTATTAGAACTTAAAATAACTTGTAATGTACTAGCTCAAAGATAACAAAAAGTTCATAAAACAGGGGGCGGCAGACTGGAGGCAAAACTTCAATACTTCCTGGGCTTAACCTTAAAAACGTTCAATTACAGTAAAATGTAATCCTCCTACCTGATCAAAAGCGGGGAAAATATAATCTGCAAACTGAATTTCTGCAATGGCAGTAGCACCAGTGACTGCAATTCCAATCCCAAATCCAACAATTCCTTGTTCACACAATGGGGTATTAAAAACTCTATCTTTTCCTAAAAAAAAAAAAAGAAAAAGAAAAAGAAAAGAAAGATCATCTTAATATGACAAACAAGAGTAATATAATGCACAATATAACTGAAAAGTCAATATATTAATGGCAAAATGGAGAAAAAATGCATAGAACAAGTGAAGAAAAGAGAAAATAACTAGAATGATAGCTGGTTAAAATGCAAACACAGCAATTATATTAACTGTATGTAATCTAAATGTTCAATTAACATAAAGATTGTGACACTGGGATAAAAGAAAGCAAAACTCAACTACTTAAAAGAAAATAAACAATAAAGATAACAGAAAAGTTGTAAGTAAAAAGAAAAATATATACAATGAAAAACCAACCGAAAGAAACTTGATAATGCTACTTTAATAGCAGACAAAGTAGACCTTAAGGGGAAAGGGAAAATTTGTACTTTTAAAGGGTTCAATTCACAAGGAGGGCATAGTACTAAATTTATACTCATGTAACAGCATGGTTCCAAATAAATAGATAAATTAACAGAATTAAAGGGAGAAATGGATAAATTACCAATATAGGAGACTTTAATATATCAATATCAGTAACTGACACATAAAGCATACTAAAATTAAAAAGTAACTATGCAGATTCTAATATCATTAACAAACATGACTTAACGAACATACACATGACACTGCACCCAACAGCTAAGAATAGAAATCCTTTTCAAGCAAACAGAGAACTTTGGTATTAATTGACCACAGACTGAATTATAAATCCAATCTCAATAAATTTTGAAGAATTAAAATCACACAGAGTACATTCTCTGACCATGGTAGAATCAAGCTAGAAGTCAATAACAAAAAGATAAGTAGAAAATCCTTATGTTAGAAAAAAATTTAAATATATGTCTAAGTAACCTACAACTCAAAGAAGAAATTCTAATGGAAATTAGAAAGAATTTTGAACTGAATAACAAAAACTCCATGTATCACAACTTATTATGGTTTCTTTTGATTTCAGTCATGGCAGGGTAGTTTTTTTCAGACAACCCTCTCACATGTGATTATAAATGCTAATCTAAATGCAACAATATTTAGACATTGAAGGGACAAAAAATAGGCATAAACTGAAAGAGACTTGACCCTTTAAAGAAATGAAATGTAGTGGAAGAACATGACATTTATAAGGCTTGTCCCCCAGGGGGACTTCCCAGTCACTGTGACATAGGATAGCTAGTATTTAGACAGACTCAGTCTTACTGGCTTGAGGTGTCAGAGAATGGAATCTGGAGATGCCAGTAGCTAGAAATTGTGGAACTAAGTCCCTAAAAGAAGAGAACTACATGGGAGTACCCCAAAATCTGTGCATAAATTCTGCTCAAAACCTTGGCTAACCCCTGTGCCTACAGTAGACTCTAAGAGCCCAGCAGGTAACAGCTGGAAGCTCAAAGAACTGAGCAGAGGTTTCAGCACTACCCACTAAAGAAGAGACAGAATTTAAAGTTTGAGACTTTTCAAATTAAAGGAACTTGATAAACACCTTAAGCTTTCCATTGAAACCACAAATTACCATGTTAATAGCATACAACTCAATTCTCCTCTGAAATTTCACCACCTTTTGGCCAATATCAGGATTTCATGAAAAATTCTAATTTCAGGGACCTGGATAGACACAAGCAATGGTCACAGTAGGGCCAGGTGACCAAAAGTTGGGGGACAGATCTGGGATTCATATTTCAGTTCCATAATCCAAGGATACCAGTTCTTCTTGGTGCGTAGACTTTACTTTCAGCTCAGTCTTTTTAAATCTGAACCACCAATAGGATAGGTGCTAGGAAATGGCAACCAGGCACATCCTGTAGTTTCACTCAAAGCAGCTGCAAAAGCATGATTCATACTCATCACGATCTGTGACTATCTTCTGATTGTGACCTCTATCCCTCATCAGTTCTCTATTTCACTGCAAGTAGCTTGATAATTTCTGAAAATCTGTGATTCCACTGAACTAAGAATAATTCATTGATAGCAAAGAAACACAGATTCCAGCTGCCACCTGTAGAATCCACATCTGTGGAATACGTGAACCACCTGAACCTAAGAAGCAATGTTCTTATTTATTCCTTGCTGTTTCAAGATCTCTGGATTTAGCTATTTTTCATCTCAGTAAATATAGCCTTTTTCATTGCTAGAAGGCAGAAAAGTTGAGTTTCTCAGAATTCTTACTCCAAACATGCTTAGTTTGAGGAATAGCTTAACAACTCTCCCCAAGTTTCTATGATCTAGCAAAAAACTGCTTCACTATGAACTAAATATTAAAAATCTGTTCCTATATTCTCCCAAACAGGTAATGATTGAGGGTAAAAGCTCACATAAAATGTATAATTCTAATTACTTACTCTGTTATAAAGCAATTAACCTGATATAAAGTTCATATACATAGTATCCCAATAGGTAAATTAATAATACATACAGTGATTGCACTATTAGCCAAGACAGATGTGGGTTTAAGCACCATTTCCACAAATTACAAAATTCCTAAGGTTCAATTTCTATCTCTAACAGAAGAATCGTGATACTGAAAAGATTAAAAATTCATACACTTATTCGAATATTTATAATGTACCTAATGCTGGATAGATACTATTCAGCATTAGATACATTATAAATATTTGAATAAGTCTATACAGCAGCAAACAAAACAGAAAAAAATTCCTATCCTCATGGAACTTACATTCAAATCAGAGAAAACAGACAATAAAAACAAAAAAAGACAATATGTTACATGATGAGACGCTATGGAGAATAAAACAGGGAGTAGGTGATTAGGGGAGGAGGTGGGACTACTGTAATTTTAAATAGGAAGATGGGGAAAGCCTCACTGAGAGGTGACATTTAAAAGAAGAGTAGAAGAAAGTGAAGAAGTGTACCCATGCATAAATCCAAGGGAATGTATCTTCCAGGCAGAGGGACTAGCTAGTGCAAAGGTCCTGGGGTATGAGCAGGTTTAGCACATCAGAGAGAAGGCAAAAAGTCCAGAATGTCTGGTCTGGAGTAAGAGAAATAGTGGTAGGAGATGAAGTTGAAGAGTTAAGAGGATCTGATGGGAAGGTGGCACGAATCAGACAGGGCCTTGTAGGTCATTGTAAGCACTCTGACTTTTAGTGTGGGAATGAGTCAATAAGTAGGTGAGTGGGACAGGAAGCCATCGACCAAAGTCATGCCATTCTCTGAAATTGCATTTCAACAGGATCCCTCAGGGTAGAATTTGAATAGCCTATAAATACGCTATTTATAGGGTGGACACAGCAAGACTGATTACAGGACAGGCATTAATCCCAGTAAGAGATGATGAAACATAATAGCAGAAAAGATGTGAGACTCTGATATAGTCTAAAGATAGAGTCAAAAGGATTTTTTGATGAAATGGATGTGCAGTATGAGTCAGAGAAATGCTAAAGATGATGAAAAGGCTTTTTTGCCCTAAGCAACTTAAAGAGTTGCCATTAACTAAGAAATGGAAAACCACAAAGAAGCATGTTGAGATGTCAAAAGTTCAGTTTTGGAAATGTTAAGTTTAAGATGCCTTCAGATATTAAGATAAAGCTCTTAATTTTACTGTTGGATACATGAGTTGAAAGTCTTAAGTATAAACATGACATTAAAAAATATGGAACTGGATGAGATTACCAAGTAAATTTAAATGGGTACATACAGAAGAGATGCAATGTTACAAAGACAATAAGTGAGAAATAAATCAGCAAAGTTGAGGGGGGAAAAAAGGCAAAGAGTTCAGAGGAAAACTAGGAGAATGTGCTGACCTAGAAGCCAAATGAAGAAAGTGTTTCTAAGAGGAATGATCAATTTGTGCTGTATGCTGACAATTAAGATGAAGACTGAAAATTTTATAACTGGTGACTTTAACATGTATCTGCAAAGTAGGAAGGAAGGAGAAAACAAAAGCCTTATTCAAGAGGCAATAGGAGAAGAGAAACTGAAGACCACGAGTAATGACAATTATTTGTAGAAATTTGAAGAAGAGCAAAGAAAGGAGCAACAAAGGAGCTGGAGAGGAGTATTGGAACCAACAGAGGGATTTTATTTAACAATGAAGAAATAACAGCATATTTGCAGGCTGATAGAAATGATCAGTAGAGAAGTAGAAATTGATGATTTTGAGAAAATTAACGAAATAGAGAAGCAGAAGAAAGTACCTAGTATTTTTATTATTTGAATCTCAGTGAAAGCTTCATACATTTCAGATACTGTGAAGTAGTTGGCCTTCATGTAGCACAAACACAAGAATAAACAAACAACTTTATCATATAGCAAGGTTTAGCTAAATGGCAGGTGATCCAGATAACCCGGAATATGCTTTTAAAAATATTATCATTAATATTAAAACCCTTAAATTCTAAATATCACTGAAAACATGAAAACTCCCAAAATACATTCATGGACACGCAGAGTTAACACTGGTTAAAGAAACAATATCCGAGGACAATATCAAATAATCGACTCCACCGTTCAATTTTAGAAGAAAAATTCCACTTAGATGAACCGAACAAAGTTTTGTTTTTTTTTCGATTAACCATGGGGAGTGTGGCAATTGCTTAAAAGCACTACTATTAGTAACCACAATTTTTTTAAACTTTATCAGAGTAACTAGAAAAAAAAGAAGCAATGGGATAAATCAATCTTTCATTCAAATAAAGATCTCTAAATTAAAGAGAATATAGGGATACTCCTATATTGTATCAACTGGGGGAAAAAAAAGAAATGCAAAGTTATTCCTATAAAGAATTTACAAGGGGTAAAAATACTTTCTTTAAATAAATCAAAAGGAAAAACTAGGTAGAGTATCTATGAGATAACTTAATGAGCGGATAAAATGGTTGAGTACAAAAGGATAGTAAGAAGAAAAATGATTCACAGAATCACAAAACCCTAGCACTTTTAAAGACCTGCCCATCAGACCCACATAAAGAATTGTAGAATGTAAAGTAGTAGTATCAGGATAGCGGTAAGAAAAATTAAA